CTTTCTCCCCCAGCTGCTGTGGGGGGAAGAGGGTGAGGCCAGGCCAGACCCGGCCCTGCCCCCTTCCCCGCCTCCCCGGCCTTGCCAGGACTGGCTCTCTCCTTTGGCTGCCGGGGTGGGCTGGGCTGAAGCCCCAGCATGGCACACCTGACTGAAGGCTATGCGGCTCCCACTCCCCCCTCTGAACATGGGGGGGGATGGAGTGGCTCACAGCTCCCTAGAGCATGGGGCAGGGAGGAGGCCACATGGCTGAGGGTGGAGGGAGGGGCTGTGGGACTCAGAGTAATACATGACTTCACTGTCATCCTGCAGGAAAGGTTTATTTTTAGAGAGAGAGAGAGAGAGAGAGAGATTATTCAGATAAGAAGTTTAGTTCAGCCAAATATAAATTAAGAGGAGAATCTGCAAAATTCGTATCTGAAACTCCCTAAAGATCAGGAACTGGATTCAACTCCATATGTAGTCATAAAATAGTGAACTAATTCTATCCCCATTGTAACTCCATCCACTTCACTGGCCTGATGTAGGGATGTGTTTGGCCCAATATCGTTCCATTAAAAAAAAAAAGGAATGGGTATAGTCTGTTAACCTGCCTGGTTGGATATCTGCATGTGGAGAGAATTTACAAAGCACTAAAGCCATTTAAATATTTGGCAAACATGCTAAACCTTAAGAGTAGAACCTCCCTGAGACCTTTCATTCAGATCAGAAAAAAGGCCTACATTTTTAAAGGTGAGAGTAATTGACAGCTGAACAATCTGAGGTTCAAGATCGATTCTCCATCACTAATAGTTTTAAAATTAAGTTTGGTTGTTTTTCTAAAAGCTGTGCTCCGGGAATTATTTTGGGGAAGTTCTATGGCCTGTATTATACAGGCCAGACTAGATGATCACTATGGCTCCTTGTGGCCTGGGAATCTGTATATTCAAGAGCTCCCCAAAGTTCAAGCAACACACTCATGCTGAAGTTCTGTGTACTTTGCTCTCCAATATGGGTCTTGCTTATATTTCAAAAATATCTGAAATAATTAAAATGGGTATTAGGATATTGACAACTGTATTAAAAAGAAAAACATACTGAAACTCTAAACAGTGACCACTGTCATAGAGGGAAATCAGTCACTTGAAAAGGCTGTGTTTTATGTAAGAACATTTGATTTCAAATCTCCACAATGGTTTTGTAATTAGTATGTGAGTTAAAGAAGTTCCTGATTATTCTGATGTCTGGTGAATGGCCTGTACTGGTTGACGTCAGACTGGTAGATTACATTTTAACAAAAAATGGGAAGGTGGGATGAACAGAATGGCTGTTTGGAAGTTATGATGTGCCATGACCTTCAAGAAGCAGGAAGGTGGTGTTTTACAACTTCTGCAATCCAAATTCAGGAGTTTTCAATTCCCATTACAAAATTGTCCAGAAGTCTGCACAGCACATCAACACATTCCCCTCGTTTTGTTTATTCCACAAGTTATTTTTATTTCCACATATGTTTATTGCAATCCCCTGTGTGTTCTTTTCAAATACAATTTTTAAGAAATCATCCTCCACTAAGATCGGCAGCCTGTAGATAAACAAAATCCTTCAACATTACAGGGATTTATTAGAAAATAATGCAGTCTCAGAACCTGTAATAAAAAGCACTAGATTAAAGCACTAGACTATGACTCAAACAATCTGGGTTCAATCCTATGTAATTTTCAGCAAATCACTTAATCTCTCTTTGCTTTAATTTGCCATCTGTAAAATTGTGGTTAATACTGATTCCCTGTGGCACAGAAGGTGTTGTGATGATAGCTACATAAATACTTGGGAGAGAGCTGCTAAGTGGTAACCATGTAAGTACCTAAACCATTCATGAAAACACCTGATTTCTTTCTAATATTTTAAAATATTTGCAGGAATATAATTTTACAGGCCTTTTCTATTAACATGCTTACCAACCTGTTTCTAAGAGTTATGTTCATTCTGAATAGTGATAGAGATGCAGCCGTGTTAGTCTGGTGTAGCTGAAACAAAAGACAGAACTATGTAGCACTTTAAAGACTAATAAGATGGTTTATTAGGTGATGAGCTTACATGTGCCAGACCCACTTCCTCAGATCAATATGTGGAAGAAAATCGGCACAACCATATATACCAAAGTGATACAATTTTTTTAAAAAAAGTGAACACATGTGAAATTGACACATCAAATTTTAGTACAGAGTGGGGGTGAGGAGAGAAGGTAAATTTCTGTGAGGTAGTGACATAGGGGAGATAATAGGGGAAGTTTCTGTGAGGAAGTTTTCCCTATTATCACCCCTATGTCACTCCCTCACAGAAACTTACCTTCCTCCTCACCCCCACTCTGTTCTAAAATTTGATTAGTCAATTTCACATGCGTTCACTTTTTTTTTTATTGTAACACTTTGGTATATATGGTTGTGCCGATTTTCTTCCACATATTGATCTGAGGAAATGGATCTGGCCCATGAATGTTTATCACCTAATAAACCATCTTGTTAGTCTTTAAAGTGCTACATAGTTTTGTCTTGTGTTCATTCTGTTTAGGAACAGAAACAAACAAGGTGACCTACGGGACTGTACTGGGGCATTCTGGCCCTTTAAGACAGGTTCTGGTTCCAGCACTAGCCTGTTGTTGGTTTCTACTCAGAACAAAGACATTCTGGAGGGAAGAGGTTGCAATTTCCAAAGCACATGAAAATTGTAGGCCTCTCAGCAGCGCATGCTGGGAAAGTGTCCCTAGCCTTTGTTTGTCAGAGGCTGGAAATGGATGACAGGAGAGGGATTACATGATGATTACCTGTTCTGTTAACTCCCTCTGGGGCATCTGGCATTGGTCACTGTCAGAAGACAGGATACTGGGTTTAGAGGCACCTTTGGTCTGACCCAGTATGGCCATTCTTATAAGGACAGCTCTCTTTTATGAATTTGAGGGAGACTGGGGGGTGAGTTAAATCTGTACTCTCCATGATAAGACAGGCTGAGAGAGAGTAGAATGTGGCTTAATTTTCCAAGAGAGAGAGTGGTAAAGGGGTTGGAACATTGATTGGGTCTTTCCAATCAATGTCCTGGGAGAAGCTTTAGGAAGAAGCCTATGAAAAGACCTGAGAGGATACCTAAGAAGTCTGTAGATTCAGCTTAATATACTCCCACAGGAAGGAGTTAATATGGATTTTATTACAAAACTGTCAAGTAGATAGAACCAAAGATTTCTTGACGTATTCAACTAGGGGCATTAGGCTAGTGAGCCAGACTGAGCCAAAGGATTTTGTGAATTCATGAAGTCCAACATTTCACACTGAGGCAGGACCTAGACCAAGGGTGGGCAACAGGTGGCTAGCAGGCAGGATCCAGCCTGCCAGGCTTGGGGCCGTCTCCTCAGCACCATTATTAAAAAACAGCTACTTTTTCTATGCAGTCTGGGCAGGGAGAAGAAAACAAAATCCCTCAGCTCCCACTGGCTAGTTTCTAGCCAGTAGGAAATGAGAAATTTTGCTGAAGGCAGGGGGAGCGAATGAAGCCTCCCTCATTTCCCCCTCCTCCCCTCTCTCCCTGTGCTGGAGCAGAGCCTCACTGAGCAGCCAGCCCAGCACACAGGCAGGGAGGCTCAGGTTTCTGCAGATCTGTTGGCTAGGAGCCATGTAGGTTAAGCACCACCTAGCCAGAACCTGCCTCTGGCACCTTAGTCCCTCTTTCCCCCCAACTATGTGCTCCAGGCCATCACCCAAACCCTCTGTATCCCCTCTCCCCACCTCCTCTAGGTCACAATGTCCTCCCAGACCCTGCACTCCTTCCTATACGCCTCCCTCAGGCCAGAATCCTTTCCTGCACAAATACCCCTCCATGACTCTGCACCCCATTCCTCTGCCCCCAGATCATAACTCCCTTCTTCACCCAAACCCTATCTCAAAACCCACACTCCCTCCAGCACCCCAGTCCTCTATCCCATGCTCCATTCTACACCCCACCTGCCATCATAGACCCCACTCCCCATCTACAGAAGTGTGGCCCTTGACCACTTGCCAAAATTTTAGAGTACCTCCCCCCCTTAAAATTATTGCCCACCCCTGAGCTAGACCATCTGTGAAAAATGTTTATTCAAACTCTCCTTAAAACCCTCCAATGGCAGTAATTCAACAACTTCCCTTTTCCATAGTGTTAACTACTGTTATAGTAAAAAAATCAACCAACCAACCAAACCAAACCCCCTGAATATCTAACCTTGCTGCAAATTGCAGATTTCTTCTTGCCCTACCTTCAGTGGACTTGGAGAACAATTGATCACAATCCTCTTTATAACTGTTCTTTTAAAGTATGCAGTGGCCCCATTTTATGTTTTTCATCTGGCTAACTAGGCCACATTATAGAGTTTTACCTTGTTCCTATTTGTTTACCAGTGTCAGATGCACATATTTCCCCTGAACTGGACCAAAACGTAATTTAATGTCTCGTGTATTATTATGTTTGGAGGGCTTCTGCAGAAAATTAGGAACGTCTGAATGCCAGAACATTGATTCCCATCGAAGTCTTCCCTCTCTCTTCTCCATTACCCCCAACCCAAATATACAGTATTTGAGAATAGGATTCAGCTGTATATTTTCATCTCCTGATACACAACTACTCCCCCTTTCCTTTACCATCCTGTAAAGACACATTTACCCTGCACATGTACAGCATGCTTCATATAAAGCAGATGTTGCTGGATTTTAATCTCCAGGAACTCTGATGGATTAAATCTCAAATCTCTAAACATTATTCTTAATTGCTATCGTAAGTACTGTAATACATGCCTCAGGCAAGAGTGATTTAGTATTCAAATGAAAGCAATAGATAATCAAAAATAAATGTCTGAAATTTGGTCTAGGCTACAACTGAATGATAGTCAAATGATTTTTTGATTGATTTTTCTCTCCCTTGCTAACTGAGAAATATTATCCTGACTGTAATGACAAAACCCAGTTAACTGAGTGCGTGCATGCATCCCACATTTTGCATACCTGTAACCCTTCAATGGCCAGTTTGAGGATGGATGGTGTTAGCTTAGAGGCTTGCTTGAAGGAAAAATTGCTCCAGTCAATAATTAAAACAAAGCCATTTATCTGAAGCTCTTGATCTTCAATGAGAACTTCCAAGGACAACAGGATAGCCCGTAGAATATCTGTGAAGCTGTTCCTAAGGCCAAAGCAGATATAAAGGGTTATAATTATCTTCAGACCACAGGAAATGCAGATATGCCATGCCAGGGATTTTTAATGTACAGGGAAACAGCTAATTGTCTTTAGAAAAGACAGATATTTTAAAAGTATCACTAAGGTATTTGGATTTGAAAACATATATTCTATTTTTTGATTGGATAACTTCTGTTCGCTGATGGATAAAATGGATCCTGAATTAAATCTCTTGCAATTTTGTGGCATCTTTTACAATAGATTTTTAGCTCAACTATATGTTAAAAATGTTTATCTATTGTAACTGAATCAGCTTTTGGCTATCACTCTGCATTAACTATGACAACTCGCAAGCCACAGAGCTAATGAAACAGAGATGCACCAGGCAGATTTTCCTGTGCTTCACAAAATTCAAGTGATCTTTCATTAATTTTTTGTTTGTCTGTACCTTCTTTAGAAAAATGAATCTGATAAAAACAAGAAACTGACTGTGAAATCCCACACACCCTGATAAATCAAAGATCTATGATCAGATCTTCAAGGCAATCTGCATTCTTGCTGGAAGAAAATTTTGAAAGACCTATAGTCATATGCTTGGAAACAGAAGCATAGTCTATAATTTAGGAAATACCAGGAATAAACTATCTGAGAGTTCATCCCCTAGTATATATCCTTTCCTAGCCAGCATTGTCCTGGTCATATATTGGCATGCTCCGAAATATAGACACAGTACAGTAACACCAGAGTACAGATACAGTGTTAAGATCTTTGAGTAAGGAAGACCCATTAGAATTTCAACACCATTTCTGGAATAAGAAGCAGTAATTTTTAAAGAGACAGAGAAGAACCCTGAGTTATAAACCTGACAAATTAACTATCAGATGGGTAAGTAGTACATAAAGCTAGGTTTAACTTTATGAAAAGAATTTGCTTGAGCTAGCCATCCTTTTGAATGCCTACATTCCACCAAGAGTCTGCATCATAAGGAGGACAACCAGAAACAGGCAGGCGAGTCTGTATAAGAATTACACAGTTATAAATCAAAGAGAATCTTTGAGGAGGGAAAGCTTCACTTTTTGCCCATAGTTTACATGGATCAAGCATAAAATGGAAAATAACTGTAACAGATCAATAATGGAACTCTGTATTAATTAGCAGTAGGCTGTTTGCAGGGGCTCTGTCATCTCAGGAAGAATAAACAGAGACAGAGAAGGGAACACTGCATTTTTCTTACCATGAAATTCTAGGCTGGGAAAATTTCTTTGGCAAACAATGAACATGAATGTCTCAAGAATATAGCTTAGTCTTGATAGAAATGATTACATAATATACTGGCACAATAGCCGTTGTTATCTTTGCATCGTATTTTTAAATTTCTAAGTGCTCTACTCATATGGAAAGACGGCTGCCATTTTGTTTGCAAAGCTGATATTGCCTGTGGCAGGAGAGAAAGACAGTGTGCTCTCTCATGGAAATTCTAGTTCTGATCTCTTTTACTGTATTCTTTAGTCTGAGTCATTTTCTCGCCACCATCACTCCAGCCTTCATCATCTTAAATCTGAAAAAAGTCTTTACCAGATTGGGCCAGTTGACATCACCATGTCTACTAGCATTGGTTGAATTCCAAACGTCATGAAGAAAGTAGGATTCCATTCTCCTCCCCTTCTACCCATGTATCCTTTTCTTTCCTCATCTCATTTCTTCTCTATCTTAGTCCCCTCCTTTTTTTCCATCTGTCTGATAAGAGTCTTGCCCAGGTGGCCAAGACTGTATATTTTGCAACACTGCGGTAGGCCTGTGATCAGAAAAAGGCAGCTAAAAGCAAAGCTCTTAAACAGGTGGTACAAGTTTGTCAGATCCAGAGTGATTGACAAGACAGAGTGGTGCTTGTGTTTTTCCAGCAGTGATGTAGCAGCCCAGAGTCAGCACCGACCACAGAAGCAGCATTTTTTGTCTTTGATGTTTTTTTCTTTGCCCTTTGTGAGTGCTTGTCTTGTTCTGTCTTCTTGGGAATGGGGACTGGATTTAACAATGGCAACGGGGACAGCTCCAGCCCATCAGTGCTAATGTCTCTTTTCTCCACAAAGGACAGTTATTACCCTCTTTAATGCCCTCTAAGGGTGTGTCTAGACTACAGGGATTTTTCAAAAAAAGTGGCCTTTTAAAAAAAAAATCTTTACTTGCATCTAGACTGCCGTCGTGTTCTGTCGGCAGTAAAGCAAAAGAACACAGCGGTTTTGTTGACAACGGAAAACTTTGTTTTACGAGGAATAATGCCTTTTTTCGAAAGTGCTCTTTCGTAAAAAGGTGCTATGTACTGTAATGCAAACTGTGCTTTTTCAAAAGAGAGCATTCAAACTGCCTGGGTGCTCTCTCTCGAAAAAGCAGCTTGCTTTTTCAAAAGTACTGGTTGTAGTCTAGACGCTCTTTTTCGAAAGTATCTTTTGAAAAAGCCTCTTTCAAAAGAGGCTTGTAGTCTAGACTTAGCCGAGACTAGCAGACAAGAAAGTTTTTCCTTCTAAAAGCTCTCTTTAAAGGGAAATAGAGCAAGAGAAGTTGTTTAAAATAAAACCATACTTAATACTTTACATTTCAAATTAACTTAAGTTGAAACTGTTTAATGGTCAGCCAGTGACTCAGTAATGTTAACGCCTACCTTTGGCCCATATATTCCATCTAAATTAATACAGCACTACTCAGCAGGATTTAATCAATAAACACTGCAAACAACCATGGGCTTCCAATAAAGGAAAAGTAATTTCTCGTTCAGACTCTGTGCCCTGAATTCACACCCCATGGGCATTCTTGTCACAAAATGGGAGCACTGCTTTAGCAGTGGTCAGGACTTCATAAATACTAGTAGCAGCTTTCTAAGAGGGGCACTGGTGTGGAAAATGTAATCACATTATAGTCATACCTCCTTACACGGCATTGTCTCTTTTGGAGCTGTCCTGGGTTGTTGTAGGTATCAAAACAGAAAATGGGGGAATACAGGCACAAGGTCAGAAGGGACCATTATGGTCATCTAGTCTGACCCCCTGCACAGTGCAGGCCACAGAATCTCGCCCACCCCTCTTAGAATAATCCTCTCACCTATGTCTCAGATATTGAAGCCTTCAAATACTTTGAAGGCCCCAACATGCAGAGAGTCCTTCAGCTGTGATCTGTGCCCAATGCTACAGAGGAAGGCGAAAAACCTCCAGGGCCTCTGCCAATCTACCCTGGAGGAAAATTCCTTCCCGACCCCAAATATGGCGATCAGCTAAACCCTGAGCATGTGGGCAAGACTCATCAGCCAGACACCCAAAAAGTTCTCTAGTAATTCCTATCATCCCTCCATTGACCTATTTCGCACTGATAATGAATGGTCAATTAGTTACCAAGATCATGTTATCTCATCAAACCATCCCCTTCATAAACCCATCTGGATTCCAGCTGGATTCTGTGCTAATGGCAGCTCTGTTCCCTAGGTTATGTCAGGGGAAAATGGAATAATCCTGAGCTGAATTTAATTCCACATATTCCATTTTAAAAATCTTTTAATGCTCGTCATTATAAGAAGCAACAAATAGGGATTTACAGTGTGAAGAAATGGATTGGTCTCCTAGTTCTGGCCAGGAGAGGTTCCCTTACAGAACATTCATTGTGATGAGTAGTACTGTACCCACGAAAGTTCCTAATACTGTCTATTTTTGTTAGTCTTTAATGTGCTACAGGACTACTCATTGTTTTTAAAGTTACTGACTGACATGGCTACTCCTCTGAGATATTTCATAGTGATGTTCCTGGTGTTGCTATCTTTGACACTTTAAAAGATATGGGGTGGAGTAATTTTAAGCATGGATGGGAATTGCTTGCACAAACTATGTATATGTTTTATTTAATTTCTAGATCATACTGAAATGTTTGTTATGATTAGGCCCACATTTTATGGGTGTATACACTTAGGTACAGACATCTAAATGTAGGCACCTAACTAAATAGCCAGATTAACAGAGCTACTGATCACTTACAGTTCCCATTAACTCTAATAAAAATTACATGTGCAAGAGTTGGACACCTGATTTTGTCACTGTGGGAGTATTAACTAATTTAGCATTTTCCTGCATACCCTGTCTACAAATTTGCATATTGTGGAACACAGCACACATAAAACGGAATGCTAACGCTGTTTCTTTTATTGGATGAGGTACAGCTAAGCATGTACACTGATCCTCCAGGTGGATTCTTTGCAAGCATGCAAAGTCAATGAATGCAGAATCTCTATGGAAATCATGCCAAATACTGTTTGAGGTTGAAGCCTTCATCTTTCTAATCTTGTGGCTTTCATATGAAGCTCTCAGCTGTTTCACTGATTTGCATCCAAATGATATTCCATGCATTAACTCATAATAATTTTCTGGGACTCTACAGCTTTAGTTACTTTGCTTAATTTTCCATTTGTTCCCAGTTTGACACACTTACAAAAAGTGATATAAATTGCTGTTTCAAGACAGGAAATTACAATACCACTATGTGGCCTCACCATGGAGTCTACTTCAGCCTGCCATTAATGAGTTACTAAAGATATGCACATGTCACTTAACAACAAAAGCAGGCAGGAAATAAACAGTTTGTTTGAGACCATAAAATATTTTTTCAAGTCAAACAAGTATCCTTAAAAAATAGAGAGTTAGTCCAATGGAAGTTAGTAGTAAGGAACAATGGCACAGTAGAAAAATGAGAAGGATTTGGCTAAGGAATTTTGAAAACAGATTAGTTAAATTTATAACAAGTTAATAAAAATACTTAGTTATAACAGAAGTAAATCATCTGTGAGAAAATTAATTGTCGCAGTGGATTTTCAGGTACAAAGGGAACAATTAATAGGGATAAAGACATTACAGAAAAGCTAGATGATTTATTTGCATCAGTCATCAATACCAAAGATGTTGAGGAAATACCTATAATATTCAGATAATTAAGACTAGGAGATTAAGATGGATTAAGATGAGGAGATTAAGG